CACCTTACCTGTACACCTACGGATGCATCCGTATACAAAATGCACCCTTTACTTTTCGTAAAAGGAGGTCACAATCATTCTTGTCCCTTAGATTTCAAAATGGGTCGTTGTAAGAGTGTCAATGATTAAACACAAAGTTCCAAATAAAAAAATTGCACTTCTTGACGCACCCTAAGACATCTAATTTGACTTCTAATGAGATCAGGAGTAATCGTCTCCTCCTTTGTACAAAAGATAAAGGGAAAAGTTTATATAAGGTTGCAACCTTAAAATGTAGATCACAGATGCACCTCAAAAATCCATCGGAAATGTTGTTTTAATGTTGAAAAAACCCTCTAATCGATCATCTCAACATTGAGATGCATGAATACGAAAAAAAAAAAAATTTGAGTCCCAGAAATAATGCATCTTGCAACACATTATTTAGATCGTCCATTTTCAAGATTTTCATATATTTATAGATCTACTTGATTTTAACCATTTTTGAAATTTTAAATTTTCTAATTAGGTATGGAAATAGATTATAAGATAATACTAAGAATATTTTACAACAAAATTACATGTTTTTCTAAAATTTTAAGGTGCGTCTTAATTGACTTGTTTAAAGTTGCAACCTCAAATAAACGGCACCCAAAGATAAATGGTCTCTTTTTATACAATCCCCTTATTATTTTGGATGAAATATCGTGTGTTAAAGAAAATTAGGCACGATGGGACCCAATTCCAATAAAGGTCCTGAAATCCATCCACCCAATTGGGATCACGATAACAGAGGAACATGGATGAATCGAAGAAACCCACTTGAAGTTTTTGATGCCCATGCAGTGTTTCATCATGGTTTCTTCGGATAAATGGAGTTTTATCGTGACCATTCATTTTATCGAAACGATGGTACACACGATGCGTATGTGCACAGTAGCTTACCTATGGTGTACGCAATATTTTTGGCCTACAAAAAGTGTTTAGTGTGTCAGCCGACTTAGTGCAGCTCCACTTAAATATCATCTGAATGATAAATTTTAGATGCAAAATTTTTAGATTTGTTAATCTCAACTATTTTCGAATTATGTATATGGAATTTTTTCTTTTTGAAACCCAAAAAATATTTTTTTTTACCCTCCAGTTGTACTGAAAACATTCATTTAGTTAGAGTGTGAGAAAAGAGTTGAATTCTTAAAATTTTCACCAACGAATGTCCTGCTAAACGGTGGGCTTTGGCGTGCTCTGCCATTTATAGTATGAAACCAATCTACTTCATACATCTCGGCACTGGTTTTGCAGTTGTTGAACTACATTCCAACTAAAAGCCCATGAGTGCTTCTCTAAAGAGAGAGAGGTCTCCATTTCGGTTTTAGGTGACAGAGCGAGAGGGAGAGAGTTGACTTTCTACTGGGCTGGTAACCAGCCCTGATCTTAGCCCAGCCCCTGTACTTATAAGGCTAGTCCTAATAAAAGCCGGGCCGGATAGGATTAGGTGGAAGTAGCCTTGGCCCAGGCCTAGGCCGGTCCGTGCTTAACCCTAGATAAAATAAAAGAAGAACTATTGAGAGTAAGGACAGGAGCCAGGCTGGCTTTTTTGTGGCCCTATCGGAGGCCTGGCTCTTGGGCACATTTTGTTGCTCTAGCCCCACCAAGCCTCTTGGCACATTGCCAACCCTCGGTTTTCACTCGAGTTTAAAATGAGAGGACTTTTCTTAGTCTTACATGAGTTTCTTGGATATAGTGTTCAACTATTCTGGCTAGCCAAACTGGTGAGGCTGAGTATCATGAATTTGGTGTTAGGATCTTAAAGAAAATTCACAAAAAAATAAAAATTTCAAAAAATAAAAAATTTATTTTAGTAGGTTTTTTTTATGCTTTCTATCATTTTGGCAAAGTTGGGAAGTCTTTTGGTCATAAATATTTATTTCATTATATAATTCCCTCATTTTTTTTTTATTATTTCTAGAATGTCCCGGTCACAAATTGATTTTTTCCAAAATCCATATTTTACTACTTCTTCAACCTCATTTAGATGTGTTTTGTTTAATTTTACTTAAAAAATGTTTTTAATATTATTGGATTTTTTTTGTAATTATTTGTATTTTTTTTATCTCTTTTTGGTCTGGCCAGGACCTATCAAACTCGGGTCAAGTTGCTCGGACTTGGCCCGGCTATGTTCCTAGGCCGAGTCGTTAAGCTCAAGCTTTCCTACACTCGAGTCGTTGAGCTCATGCTTTCCTACACTGGTTGGATAAGATTAACAATCAAGTAAACAATTACGTCGGCTAAGATTTATTGTTCGATTTGTTTATTGCCTTGGGAACCTTATCAGATCCCTATTGACATCTTCAAAAAGTTAACTTCAAAACTATCTGAAAAAAGGTCGAGACATTTCCCCACCGAATTAAAAAAAAAAAAAGAAAAAAAAAAAAGAAAAAACTAAAGTAAACTAAACTAAACTGACAAAATTATTCCAGCCTTTGGGTGGAGTGGTTGAGGTGTTGACTTTTGCAACGTAACATCCCCAACTCGAACCCTACCGCTTAATGGGAAAATAAACATTTGTAGCGTAACATCCCCAACTCGAACCCTACCGCTTAACCGGAAAATAAAAGAAAATAAAAATAAAAGACAGCTTAGCTAATTTGGCTTAACCAAAAAATAAAGGAGAGGTTACCTAATTTCATCAATGTCATCGGGTAGGGTTTGAATAGGAATTTCATTAAATACCGCTTAACCAAAAAATAAAAGAGAGGTACCTAATTTCATTAATTTCATTGTGTAGAGTTTGAATGGAAGTTATGAATATCTTGTGCTTTTCAGAAGCACTCCAACATCAACGACCTACTTTTTTGACATTTTATCACATGAAATGGGACATCCAACTCATAATTCATTTACAACCTCGAAACAGTGTGTTTTTTTTTATCTTTATTCTTCTTTAATCTTTCATTCCTACCTCCAAGTCATACATCAACTTCATGCTTAAAAGTCATCTTCAAATGCAACATTCAAAGATATGTTCGAATGCATACATAAAAGTCATCCAAAACATTGAAGCCGTCATGTTTGAGCCTTTTGGGAATGTATCTCTTTCTCAATATAATCAACCAAAATACTCGTTCAAACCCTTGAAATTGAAGTGGTCATCTTACATGAAACCTCTCTCTCTCT